CTCGTGTGCCGATGAAACCAGAAGTCCTTGATCCGTGGGCGATGCAAAACGATCATCGTCGCTATACCCGGAAGAAGGTGCGGTAGGTCAGCGTTCCGAAGTTGCCTCCGTTCGCTCGATCGAGCTTCTCGCGGTCTTACCGATATTCCAAAATTCACTCGTCGTTCTTCCAAGACGCCATCTTCAAAATTCATTCCTCGGTACCTCGAGTGACGATGAGCAACGAAATTTAGCTATCGAATAGTTATCGAAAGGTCGAAATTGGAGGATCGGATAGCACGGTGTTGTAGATTCAAGGTTAAAAAGCGCTGTGCACTCGTATTCAGTGAAATGGTAATTTTAATTAAGAATTGGAAAATAAAGGATGTAATACAACTACAGAGGTACAATTATAGTCCGATGTCTGGAACCATGGTAAAAATAAAGGTTTGACAGGTTTCATCTGATCTCTGCGAAGAATGACATGCGACTGACCGCTGACAGTGAGAGAAAGAATAAAAGCTTAGCCTGTTACAGTCCTCAACTGTTTATTTCGGTTCCAAGCATCGGAGACGGAACAGACGGATTTCCCTTTCTCGTCAGTGGTTCCTCAGTGAACTAAGAAAATTCGCGTGTTCCGATTTTTACGAGTCCGTGCTATTAGGCCACGTTCAGCTTAACGATCTCTTCCCACTGTATGCATCGTAGGTTTTGACAGTGGTGGTAATTTATTAATAAATTGTAACTGTGTACGAGCGACGATTAAACATACGAATTATCTCTTTATAAAAATCTTGATCGTGCCAGGCACGTGATAATCAGTTTCGACCCGACCGATGTACCACGGGCCAGGCTCGTGATAATCAGCTTTGGCTCGAAAACCTGACCACGAGCCTTACACGTGATTATAGGCTAAAGGGTTAACAGTTTATCCCGTGACAGTCACGGGTAGAGTGTCAACTACTATACACGAATTAATTACTATCAAGATACATATAAAACGTTTTCTGATATTATTCATTAAATGCCAAAGTGTTTTCGAATATAAAAGAAATTGGACATTTTTTGGACTCGAATTCGTAATTTTACCACACTGTTAAAGGGTTAACTCTTTGGGGCACGCTGGGATCAAAAGTGTCCCACCTCTTCGATGCATCGTAATGCATGGTGGGACATTTTTAGTCCCACCTGGAAATATTGCTTTAGCTGCATGCTCATATGTTTATATTTCGTCTTATTTACGTAAAGTAGTTGGTAATACCTTCGGCAAATGTTATAAACGTATTCGCCTGTGTTGGCAGCATTCAGCATGTCAGTACAGTATTTATTAGTAAAAATATACCAATTTTGTTTCATTTAAAACGCAATAAAATTTCTATGCAACATAGATCTATTTTATTATCCGAAATTCTGTGCTGCAAACAGTTGAGGCAACAGTGACGACGTGTAACGTCGTCTTTGAACGCAGGATCTCGGTCCCCTAATGCCCCGTGCCCTCGATTCTCTCGCGTTGCACCGAGGAATTGTCCGGAACTCGGAGATAAACCGGGATCTAGGAATCCTAAGAAGCAAAGCTTGTTTCCCGTTGTTCTTTATCGCGCCGTGTCGATAGAAAAGCCACGGCGGGACAGGTACAAGTGTTAAAAGAATGGGCCAGGTCGTTATCTCGGTCGTAACGGTTGGAACCACGGTGATTTTACTCATCGATGATCGAAACGAACGGAACGGGTTGAACCAGAAACAGCCTGGCTGGTGGGCGGTGTTAACGACCGGCTGTTCAAACCAGGAAGATGTGGTAGGTCAGGAATATGCGGGTCCCTCGATGCACGAAATTACGACGTACGCTGGGGAACGGACCTATTTCTTGCGCAACGTCCACCGACTTTAATTAGTAGCCACTTTACCACTTTTCTCTGCTTCTTCATTGTCCCATTCACCGCTTATTAACACGTCCATTGTTTGGAAATTTTTCGTTTCGGCCATCTTCCCTCTCGTACCAGGCCTCCAGGGCCCCGATCTTAACCCCTAACTAACGACCACTCGGCTTTTCGACACTGGCAAACATACCGACATCATCCTCGAGATTAACGGGATTCATATTTGCAGATGGAGCGGTTTTGAGTAAACGTGGGGCCAAGCCGCTGTCACGATAGTCATTCGAAACTAACAGCGCTCATTTCTGCTTAGACGCCATTTTTGTTCATAGCAACGCTGGCAATAAGGACAAAATAGTCCAACTTGGAACGTGCAATCCTAGGTTACATATGTGTTTCTCGGCCATAGCAATGCGTTTACGTGGGACACATTGTCCCTCGGCCCTGTCAGTCGTTTTCGCTGAACGCATATATGCGACTCTCGTAAGCAAAGGGTCAATAAATACGGTTATCGAGTATTTAGGAGATTAACAGTTTGACTGTCACGGTGGTCATTGCTTGACCGAAGCACTTGAACTACTTAAAATTGCAAAAATTGAACGAAGATTGACAGCTAGTAGATTGTCAACCGTTACCAAGGACCCCTCTGTGGTCACCGGTGACTGCCAATAAGATAAACGTTCTATTGGCTAAGAATGTCGTCTTATGTCACCAATTTATTATTATTTTGCTATTATATGCTTTGCATATGTAATAAAAATACTCCTATGGCGTCCTGAGCGAAACACGTGACTTCGGCGTGGCAGTCAAAGGCAGACATCCGTCTTTATCCGTTATCCGTGAATATCGACGTTCGATTCGCTTCGTCCTCCTTCGGACACTCGTCTCTCTTCTCGTTAATCTGCCGATTAGCCCGACTCGTTGCCCTTTTCCTCCTTTCGTCATCCGCGAATTCTTGCACGTTGTACCGCTGGAGCGTTCCGAAGCGACGAACTGGCCGTTTAGCTCGCACGAAGCACGATTAGCATGGCGATAGGGCGAACGATCAGGAGCCACGAAGCAGCGGAGCATCGCGAGCCTGAACCCGCCTGGTTCGGTCGGAGTGGGCAAGTATCACGGTAGCGAAGCGTGTGCCACCGAGAGAGGGTCGCAGGATTTTCGCACGTTCCCCAGCTCGGTCTATTCAGGCGAGAAGCCACGGCGGACGTGGTTGCAGCTCGCTAGCTAGCGTTCCACGAGGAAGAGATTACGGGCCCGTTCCGTGCTTTCTCTCGCGCCGTCTCAATCCCGCGGCATTGTTCGTCCGCTTCTTCTTCCTCTTCCTCCACGAACAGATCTTCCCACGCACGTGCCCGGCTCTCTCGTACGAGGCCCGCTGAATAATTACCAGATGAAGATACCGCCGCCTCGTGTAGGCTGAAATCTCGCCTCCTCTCTCCTCCTCCGACTCTTCCTATCCTCCTTCCTCCGTTCCCTCGGACGGAGGTGGATTTTGCAACGGTACCTAGGCTGCCTGTTTCGACGACGACGACGACGCCGTCGCGTCCCTTGGCGGATGATCAACCCACGGGGATCGACCCCTGCTGAACTATAACCGCTTCCAGGGTCCCCGCGGAAACCAGTCGGGTACACAGTTACGTGGCTGGGTTTCCCTCGGATAGTTTCATTCACCGCGCCCACGCTTATCCTGAGAGATGTCGCTGGATACCTCGCTGGATAATTCGCTGGGACACGCGGTCATGGAAAACGCGCTCATCGTCGAGTGCGAATTCTTCGAGTACTCGTCGACGAAGCAGCTAATAGTATCTAGTAGTATCTAGTAGTATCTAGTCCCTGCCAATTGTCATTGGTTCGGAAGGTTTATTTTTCGTTACGAAATGGCGAGAATTGTAGGAATTATGGGTGTACATATGTATTTAAAAAGCAGCTAGTGGTATCTAGTCTCTGCCAACTGTCATTGGTTCGTAAGGTTTATTTTTCGTTACAAAATGGCGAGAATTGTAGGAATTATGGGTGTACATGTGCATTTAAAAAGCAGTTTGTATTTACTTATAGTACTGGAGAACATGGGTCGTGTTCTCCTAGATATTTTACGTTATCGTCCCGGAAGATCGGGACACTTGCACTTGACGCTACGTCCACGGAGGGTACGTAAGCTCGTAAAGCGTGAGAAGAGACCAGGATGGCTATCAGATCGATGCCTCACCGCGATGTCTTCCCCGAGACAGGAGACGCCAAATATCCTCGCGGAAAGTAAATGCCAAGGGGTTTACGGTAGCTCGCGGTGATAACCTGTCGGGATGATAGACCATCTCACGGAGCCGATGGGACGTGGAGGTTTCAAAAAGTGTCAGACATCGACGATAAGTCTCCCCTAGATATCGAATATCCATCCGGAAAGACGGCGCCGCGTGGATTATAGTGCTGTCGCTCATGCTATCAGTCTATTTCGAGGACAGGCTAGCTTATGCCTCAGACATAGACCTCTGCGTTCGATATTTCACTCGCATCGATCTTCTCCTCTGTCGATTAATTACACCTGCAAAGGGAGCGTGATAGTATACTCGGTATTTTTCATTCGATTATTCATTTTTCTTTTTTCGATTAAAATTGCCAGCAACTTGGGGAAGACGAAGGTACGAGGATTCGAAGGTTACTCTGGTAGTAAATAAGACGACTGGACTCATTGTCGGTAGCGGAGGAAAGAAAAATGGCGGCGGGTGACGGGCTAATGCCACTGGCTTCTTTTCTTAAGCTCCGTTTCTAATTAACGGCGGCAGCGTGCTAATTGTCCAGCTGCCGCGTCGGGAGACCTTAGAGATTCCTGCATGCGAGTTGAACAGGTTCAGCCTTGGGTTCAGCGGAATTCTTTTCACTCGGTGCAATAAGCGTTTCCACGAAAACGACCGCGGGTGTCATCGAAAGTGAATTCCCTACGTTCCTGGCCCCGTACTCCCGACTAATCGTCCCTTTTAACGTACTCCCGGCCTTCTAACCGAGACCCCGAGAGATACCATCCGCGTAGCAACCGGGGGAATAACCGATTTCGCGAATATCGCGGTGAACTTTTCGATTCGGTCGCGATTCGTTCTTAATCTTTTGGCATTTAGTAGACTGTCAATAATTCGTTTTTGTTCCGTTTTTCAGAGATGGCAGAGAAGATGGTTCGTCCTGTACGACGACGGGGAGCTGACATACTCGGTGGACGAGCACGTGAGTCTGAAAATACCGTTTAACGCAAATTCCTCAGCCGACACGCTGGCTGCGCACGACCAATCGATGCGTTGTCGAAATCCACTTTGCCGTTGACAAATCCGTTTAGTGCCACGATACGGTTTCATTCAGCGAAAGTGATCGTTCCACTAACGAAACGTTCAGCGTGCCAGTCGCACGCGTTAACAACGCGAGCATGCTCTTTCTTTGATACACGTTATAACCGGAATGAACGTACTTTGCGTTGCTTTATGACCACCATAATGGCTCTTTGTGCTCGATGTACGAAGGACGTTGAGATACGTATCGTTGAAAAAGGAAACCCGCGTCGCGATAGAGAGCGAAAGTCCGCCGATTTATTCTCGAAATGTCTTTCTCTGTCAATTATGTTCCGCCGGCTAATTTCTCCCATTCACCGGCCAGGGTTTCCGCTCGTGCAGTGAGAGTTGGGCGACAAATTACAGACGGAGGGAAAATTCCACGCTGATAGGGCAATTAAGCGACATTGTCGCGGACAGTGTCGCGAGCAGGCCTTTTCCAGAGCGCGCGAAGCGGCGCGAACGACGGACGGTTATCACCGTTGAGGAATCGTGAACTGTCAGCCAGGGAACGTTATGGCAGGCAGTGAATCAAAAGCTGCCCCTCGGAGCGGCTCCCTCGGAGTCTAGGAGCCGCAGAGGTCAGAGTCAATTGTAGTTAGCGGCGAGGCACACGGCCATCGTCAGCGCCATCAATAGCATTGACAGCGTCTAGGCCGGCGTGCCGCGGATCTCGCGGCTCAGCCGTTCCTCTTTGACGTCGATGGCCGTGGTTACGCTGGAAAGCGTCAGAATTGATTTAAACCCGGACTGATGGCCGGGTAAAGGCCGTAAACTGGTGTCTTCCGCGGTTTTCTTCGAGAACGCGCGCAGCTGGCGCTGCCGATAACCGCGAAAATCACGGTCGCTGTCATTCCTCGAATCGAGGTTCAACGAAGGTTATGACAGCATCTGGGAATCTCATGGACGGCATCTGAATTCTCGGAGTTTAGCGAATGTCGCGATCGAGGTCTTTCTTCGAATTAGATTCTCGGAATAAAGGGATTCCTCGACGCGTCGCGGGTGGCATTTAAATATTCGAGAGATTTTTGATTTACGAATTTTCGTGGTGTCTCGGAATGTTGTAGAATCTGTATAGAAGATTGTAATTCCGGGAGGAAAAATGGCGGTAACAATGGCTGCTGATTCGAATGCAAAGCCATCCAACGTTCAAGGTCTGCGGCTCCATATATTTTCGCCTCGCGTACAAAGTTGTTGCAGCCGATCTAAAAACGGAATTATCGTCTCGACTCGTATCATCGATCTCTACGGAGTCGTCGAACAACCGGCATTAAGTACTCCCTGCGTCGCGATACTAAAGACTCGCTTTGCTATATTATACGCCCAATAATGTACAGCCATAGGAAGATTGTCACTTTCCTCGCACGGAGGATCGAACTTTAACCGGATACCGTCGCCCGTGGGTCTATTATCGGCGCTGGACACGCGAAAACGAAATTAAAATAACGACGTTCGATGGGGATGGCGATACGGCGCTAAAGGATTCGCGGAGGACGCCGGTCCATTTGTGCGCGCGCCCGACAACTCGGCCATCTTCGAAGCCAGATTAATGATCCGGTCGCGGGCCTTAAGAGGGCCATTCGTTTCGAGAATAATCTCGGTCGAAAAATGCGAAAAGATAATAAGCTACGTACGGCGGATGCGTGTCTCCCTTTCTCGCCCTCTCCGCAGAGTCGTTCTGGGCGTCCTTGAGGTGGAATGCGAAATTGGGCTAACGGGTCGGAATGATCCAGACACGGATCGCTGCTGCGAGGTACATTGTTGCCAACGACAACCGTATCTCTTGCTCTTTCTCTCCACCGACTCCAATATTATTTATACGATAATTTCTTCAATACTCCATAAAAGTCCTTTATCCTGGCCTTCTACGCGGAGCAGGCTTCCTCGATCTCTGTCAATTTATAGCTACCTTCTGAACATCGGTAACTTCGTCTACGCGCAATTTTCTTTATTTTCTTTACAATTTGTAAAGAATAGACATAGATTCCGTTATCGTACTCCCGTCTTCAGCAACGTAAACTTCCACGTTACAGGTCCGTGTTTCTCGCGCTGAAACGCGCGCCACACCCACCAGATGGCTGTACCGGTACAGTCCCGGATTCTGCGAATATCTTAAAAATTCGGCACCGAGCCTATGAAAGGCTCGAACGGTTGAGAAACCCTGCTCCAATTGCCCTAAAATCAATCACACTCGATCACTTCCTCCTCCCCCGATTACCGGACAAAACGTGTCTCGTTAAAAGCAGCATCGTCTAAACTCGCCTGCCCCTTGGTGCAAGGCGAAGTGGCAGGGAAGGCGCGTGCACGGAAAAAGGTAGAAAAGGAAACGAAGCGTCCCGTCGCGTGCATTTATCAAGGTTCTGCGAACGGGACAGGCGTAATCGGTCGATAGGGCAGGCGCGGGCCCAATAATCGATAGTTAATTGGAAATGGCATTTCTCAAGGGAGCTGCTCGCGCTACCGCGCGTTCGTAGAATGGCTGCCGCGTATCTACGCGAAATGGCCACCGGTGGCCAATTATGCAAATCCTCTTACGGGAAAAGGAGGGTCCCAGGCGCGGGGGATTAATCGTTCGAATTGGAAACGATTAGCCGCGTTTCTGCGCCAGCCAACCAGCGTTCTTTCAATTATCGCGCAGGATTTCTGCGACTGACGATCGAAAGAAATTGGATCGCACGATCCGCCATTAATTACGTCGCCGCGCGCATTCGCGATAAAACCGCGAGCGCGAAACCTTCTTCCTCCTCCTCCTCCTCTTCTTCTTCTTATTCTCCTTCTTCTTCTTCTTCTTCTTCTTCTTCGTCTTCTTCTTCCTTCGCTTTCTTTCGCCGCGAAGAGGACGGCCACGAGTGGCGAGCCGATCACTCGCCGCGATTACCGGTCGCGCTCTACGGTCGGCTTGATTTACGCGCGCCTAATTAAATGAATTAGCCACTTGACACCGGTGTAAATTACGGCCGGATCGGGGCCCGCTGCGTTTCTACGTTTCGATGCTTTCTGGGCTGATTTCGAGCGGAGCGGAAGTTCGAATCTCGCGCGCAGCAGCGTCCATGCGAGTGTCAATCGCTGTGGGATTTAAATTTTAACGTGGTGGAGGGAGAGTAAGACACGTGTTGCTTTTGAAGTCGACAGGAACGGTATTGAACCGTTTACTTTTCATATTCTACGCGAGAGCCATCTGGCAAGCGTACCACGCATGCGCACGCTCGCACAAGAATGCGCGCGAAATTTAAATCGGACCTTTAAATAGGACCTTTTCACTCCTGAGTTACGAAGAGAGTAGCAAATACTTTCTCCTGAATTAATTTAACAAATTTTATTTTTATTTATATAAAATATAAAAATGAATACAGAAGTTCAGAACTCGATAAATATTTGATTTGTCCACGCTAAGAAAATACAGCGTTATGCAAATTTCTTTGTTTATTATTATATATTGTAAACTTAATACTTTATGTATTGTTCTAGGCAGTAAAAATTTGGAAAATGTACGAATTCAAAATCACATTTAGGGCTGTTCAAACAGAGATTTATGCAGACGAGAAATCTCAAGCCACGTGCACAGTGACGTGAAATACATAGTCTCGCAATTTTATTGACAGAGGGCTGAATAATGCAGGGATTGTATTGAAAAAAATTGTTCTATTATCCTAAGAGATGACAGGACACGTCAGAACAGTTGAATCGCGTTCAGAAAGAATTTTCTAAGCTCTAACAGCTTTGGAACCCATGGACGTTGTATCACGTTCGCAACCATGTTGTAGGAGTGAAAGGGTTAATAAGATCTAGGTGGAGTATCCTGTAAAATTTAATTTTGTCTAATTAATTGGGAAGCTCGAGTCACGAGCCAGTGCGTGATACGAGTACTCTCTCTCATCCGTGCTACCTTCTGTAAATCTAATATCGGAATAATTAAGGATCTCGCAGTCGTAGGATGAAAGGCGCGTTGCCCGGAGGTGCACTTCCGCCGAGCTACCTTCCAACGCGTCTTCCCGAGGAGAGAAGTTGGTCAGCGGGGTTTACGGTTACTCGCAATTAAACTGTACTCTAATTGGCGCTCGGGCACCGTTACGATATTAACGCGACCGGTGGAATAATCGAGAGAATCGTAGGTGGAACAAAGGCGTCCTTAATGGCCGCGTTTCCCCCGGTTATTATTCCCGACGCTATTACGTGCACGGTTCATTAACATTTATCGACCACGCAACCGTTGTGTCTCGCCTGGCCTGCCCGATGGCTATCGTTTAATTGGGGTCAGCTGATTAACTCGCGTTTAGGCGAACGATTTACGCGTGTAGACAGCCTTACGGGGGTAGAAAAAGAAGGACGAGGGCTCGTTCTCATTGTTTGTCCATGTTGCTATCGACCTCGTCATCTCGACGTCAAGGCGGTCTGCAACGTTACCTCATCGACGATGACCCGTTTCCTATTAGTCTCGCGACCCTGACGGGTCGATCGCGTTAACGACACTGTGAAAACGATCCACTCGATCCGATTTCTGTTCCACCATTTGCGTCATTATGCTCCTGAATGCACCCTTCGCGAACACGCCGAGATCTTGCGTCCCTCGTCTGAGACAGGCGTTAGGATAGTCTGGTAACAGGGATGGTTTGGAATTTAACGGAATTTGCTCTTCCTTGCGAAATTCCTCCTCCTTCCCTGCACTGAAGAGACAGAGAAATATCTGACGATAGAATTCGATTTTTCCGGAAATTTCTCCTGTGCATTTATGTGCATCCACGATGTCGTCTTTTTGAATCACGCGCCACTATAGTGGCTCACCCTAGTGGCTCTCGCGGCTATGCTTTTGAACAGCGCGCCACTATAGTGGCTCACTCTAGTGGCTCACGCTTTGAATTGAATGATCGTTTTCATATGTTCCGATTCACACTCTTTTTGCCT